CATTTTCATTGGTGCAACTTGCAATTCAACTCTTTGCTCTCCTTCGTTCACTCCCAATGGGTTGAGCAGTTGCTGCAGAATGTATTTTCAAATTGTATTTTTCAATTCTTCACTAAATAATGATGTTATTGTCTATTATTTTGTACTTGTTACCTCAGCTGGTGTGTGGAATGATTCTTCTTCTTGGTTTCTCGCCCGGTCGCCTTCGTTGCCCTCAACCTCGCCTACACCATCTCTTTCCCCATTCGCATCAGTTTCCTTATTTATCTTGTTCTGCTCCTGTGTCAACCCTAAGCTGAATGACAGCATGCCAGCTTGGGTATCGTTTTCTGCCATACCCAACCTCGCCTCAAGCTCGCCTACACCATCTCTTTCCCTATTCGCATCAGATTCCTTGTTTATCTCGTTCTGCTCCTGTGTCAACCCCAAACTGAATGACCGCATCCCGTCTTGGGTATCGTTTTCTGCCATACCCCCCTCTACCTCATCGACTTCTATCCTCTCTGATGCGGTCCTCAATGACTCTTCTGCATTTTTAGCATGGTTTGGGTTGTGAATAGTAGTGCACCTTGCCTTAGCTGCTACATATCGCTACCCAATTCTTAGCAACATTCTGCCGGCGTCCAATAGCCTCTCAAATGTGGTATGGTGTATCGTGTATTCGCCTGCGTTGTCGACAAGTGTAGTTAGGTCTTTGACGTTTTGTATTACTTGTTGCGCCCCTTTTTCAAACATGTCCTCCATTGCCTGAAATACAGTGTATTGTGATTTATCACAATCTACATTTCATAACTGCTATGCAATAACTTTTGTATGTGCAAGTTCATGCAGTATTTATCATTTTGTATTGCATTATTCTTATGAAGTTAGGCGTCTGAAATTTTACCTTGACCCGATCATCTCTTTCATCTTCTTGATTTTCTTCCATAGGTTCATGTTGTGCACCATTGCCTCCATCCTAGTATCATCACGTACGAATATTATTTTCTAGTATCATTTTTAAAACATGCACTTTCAGTAGTAGTCATTGTGCATTCACGTACTTATTATTTCACTTTCGTATTATTAATTTGCGTCGGCGCATTTTGCAATGCCTGCTGTTCAGCTAGTTCCTTATCTCAGTTTTTCCATATTCTAAAATGTGCAATTTGCCATGTCACTGTGTGCAACTAGTGTCTAACTACTCATGTTTCCAACTATATTCTGTGCACTACCGACATGTGTATTGATAAACATTATTTTTATTGTATTTTAAATAATCTTTTTATAATTAATTTGTAATAATGAACTAGTTTTATATCTATTTTTATTTATTTTTATTATATTTAAATTTATCAATTTTATTAATTTTTGGGGTTATTTTTGTTATTAAATTAATTCTGTTATTAAAATTTGTCAATCAAATAATTTCCTAATCTAATAAATCTTAATAATAGTTTATTAGTAGTCCATTACCTAGTGTTAATTAATTAGTTAGACTAGTTCTATTTGAGTTCTAAGTGATTATGATTTTAATTGCTATTTAAATAAATAAAAGGAATTATTATGGGTCCTATTCTTCATCAAAGACTCTTTCTTTTTGCCGCGAACTGAGTTCCAAACAGTGAAGGGCGAGAGACGAGGGGATCGCGAACAAACATGGTCTCTGGGTGATCCGATTGAATAGCGTACGAGCGGGAGAGAAGTTTGGTTAAAGCAATATAAAAGAAGGTCAATGTTCATCTTCTTCGGCATCAAATTACTCCGGACCAATTCCGGTCGGAGGGGGTTGTTCGGTACTAGGCGTAGTTCTCTGTTTGGTCTCAGGCGAATTAATTCCAGCATATGCTTTCTGGTTCTTTACTCTTTTTCTTGAATTATCTGGCTTTAATTTATGGTTTCTTAAATTCCTATTTGTTAATTACAAACAAAAGTTGTAATTCCTTTAATGACCATCAATCTTTGGCACAACAATTTATTCACATCAATTGCTTTTATTCTCTTCACTTATTCATTATTGTTGATTGCAGTAAGTATATTACTTTATTCTCTTCCGTCATTCATTATTGTTAATTGCAGTATTAATTAGTGTTTATATTCACTCTAATTAGATTGTGATTAGTCTCTTGGTAGTTGATTAATGTTTCTGCTCTTCTATTTTGATTGTCAATTATGGTCCTTAGTCTTTATTTCCAGGTTATCTTGTTACTTTGTTAATTTATTATCTTTACTGCCTCGTTTTTTACCTGCAATTTTTAGTTAAATCAATTCTAGTTGTTGATTGGGTTTGAGCGCTTTAAAATTGTTAAGTTAATTATTTTAGTTTCAAAGTTATTAAATTGCATAGTACAATTCCTTGTGGGTTCGACCCTTGCTATTGCACACTAATATTACAATCAACTCGTGCACTTGTGAGGACTATATTAAAACTGTCCATCATGTATGGGCGGTATTTTGAGTCTAGAAGTTAATGAGATCCCATTGCGGCTAGGATGTTGGCTGGTCAGTGTGTTAAACCCTACCAATCTCACACTAAATGTCCAGCGCGAGATAGCTCTACAAATTACAAGAGAAGATGTTGGAGTTGTGCTGGGACTCCCACTAGGGTCAACAAAGATAGTATGTCGGCCCAGTCAGAAAGTGGGGCAGGAATTGAGGGATTGGCGGGCGAAAGTTGGAAAGCGAGACAGCACAATAACCTTGAGGAAGGTATGTCAGGTGATGCTATCCTGCGAGGATGGTGGTTTGTGGTTCAAGCGTCACTTCTCCGTGGCTGTTGCTACTGTTATGATTGAAAGCACCCAGAATGGTTACGCTAACCAGCAGTTTATACACCAGCTTGAAGAGGTGGACAAGATACGTGACTTAGACTGGTGTGGGTACTTGCTTAAACGGTTAGTCAAAACCCACCGTGATTGAGCGAAAGACAAGATGCAACGTTTTACGGGGTCACTCCTATTCCTAGTGGTTTTTTTTTTTTTTTTTTTTTTTTTTTTTTTTGTTTCAGTTTTCTTGTTTAATTAACATACCTAAAATGAGCAGCTTTATGAAAGGTGATTCGTCGTATATAAATTTTTCGTTTGTTTTAATTATGCAGTTGTTCTATGCGGACAGAGTAGCGTTAGGCCCTCGGGTAATTGCTAGGAGCATCCCTGCCTTAATTGGATGGACTGGAAAGCTTTTGAATGAGCATGAGATTTCTAAGATTCGAGCGGGGGGATTTGGGATTGGATTAGTGATCGAACCATTGCGGGATGATACCAGAGTAGAAGACCATGGTGATTTGGGCGGCAGTACAAAACAGGTCTTTATTTTTAGTTTTTAAATCTGGGGTGTAGCGAGCATCAGTTATTTTGCAGTGTGCAGTTTTACGGTGGTTGCTGTTTAAATTCGTATATCGTATGGTTGATATTTGGGGGGTTTTGTTGGTCATTATTGTCCCCCCAAATCCCTTAGTAGTGCTAACCGATTTTTCTCATATTCGTGTTCGTTGTGGGTGTATTTTTGGTTTAACAGGTAGTTGTGTGTCAATTGTGTATCTTTGCCTATGTTTGGACCTGCCCTTCGGTGGGGTCTGTGTATTATGGATAATTATTGCGTCCACTCAGTTGTACTTAGTGATGATTCGAAGAAGTTCTGAATGTAGGGGTTCGCCGAGCTAATTTCTGCCAAATCGAAACTCATAGCTTCCACTGTAGAAGAATTGATTGAGATGGCGAAGGAAGCCCCGGATGAGACGTTTAACAATCCAATTTTTAAAGAAGCGCTAGATGCTGCCGGGAAATTGTTGGGCATGAGACAAAGGCAACAAACACTGAGTGCACAGACTGGCACACAGGAGGATGAAGCATTCTGGGTAGAGACTATCGTTGCAGCTGACGAGATTGAGGTTGGACACAAGAATACTGAGGAGGGGTTCGAGCCACCTAGCTTTAGTCTAGGCTTGACACAAGACTTTGGGGGCCCACAGTTTGGTGTCTTATTCCCGTAACGACTGCACAGCACAGGTGGGTAGAATGGTGGCAGTTTAGATGTATCAACTGGTGGGTGCGTATTGGTAGGTGGTGTCGGCGATGCAGTCGGTTCACACACAATTGAGGTTATAGTCTGTAATTTTGTAGTATTTGTCGTGCATGTGGTGGTGGCCGTGTATTGATTAGCACTCCAAACAAAGCAGGTCTGTACCGTTGAAACCCCTCAAATGCATGTGGGGCGCTTGTTTTGTTCGGAGAATATTGGGCCAGAAGTCCAGGTACTACTATGTGGTTTTAATATCCGTTGGTGTGATTGATTATTGATTTGACTTGGTTTCGGTGTTGACATATCAAAGGGCAAACACACAAACAGCGATGCATTACCTGCTTGTATTGGTGGGTCGGGAACAAGGGCGCCTTTGAAGGAATTGCGCTGTGATGCAAGGACAGGTGCTGAGCCTGTGGGGGGTCTGAACTTATTGAATAGTTATCCTGAGGGGCATACGACGGGTGTTTTGATTCCCGATCTCGACCGGTTCTCTCTGTGGCAATGGTTCTTCCACCATCAAGACCGGAACTAGTTAGTACCGTTTGCGTTACTATACTCTCTACACATATTACACAGCTATTTCACTCACTGAACACTGTTTTTTTTATGGGTGTTAACAAAACCACTATGCAGCACCGAGGAGGTTTTCTCGTTTAACGGGAGGCATGGGCAGTTGAAAGACTTCATGTCTTTACAGTTCGATAGTGCAATACGTATGCCAGTGGTGGAATGTTGGACGTGCGTATTGAATGAGTTGGAGAAGGGTAGAAACCCAGACGCACCAAGGAGAGTGTTTGTTACGATATACGCTTTGATATGTGATATATGACCCTGTATTAAAGCATTATTTCTATTACCTAAATACCTATGTATCTTTGTCGCCACCCCTACCACCCGCAACAACATTCAACAGTTGAGCAGTGTTATTTTCTCCACGGGTGACTAAGAGGTACGCTTGGGTTGGTTTACAGAACGGCTGGATAAGGTCTTTGAGCGTGCACCCCATATTAACTGTGCCACTGTAAACCTGGTAAAGTAAACATTTACTAACCCAGAGTTTGTTTGCATCTACAAAGAAAGAGGCCAATCAGCTGCGTTTTGACGAATACTAATGTTTGAGTGCAGTTTTTCTTCCCCATTCTGAAAGCTGCTCACTATTACGTGTTGTGCGTCAACATGCGGAAGCGCAGGTTTGAAATCATTGAAAACTCCCCGGTAGCTGGTAAAAACGAGGATAGATATGGCTCCATTCCACAAGAATTGGTAAGTGTATTGAGTCGGAAGTTGGTCGGTTATGATTGCAGTGACGGATTTGTGTGTTATGTCACAGCTAATTGCTGGTTGATTGATACCGAGTAAATCATTAAGTCTTTTATTTGCATCGCTTAAATCCCCTGTACACTAGAACTGCACTACCCTAAAAAATTAAACTACATTTAAATCATTGACCCCTGCCCCAATGCTATAAATAATGCGTTAATAGCTGCGTTAAATTTTTTTTTTTCATTGGTATTTTAATTTTTTTTTTTACATTGATATGATGTGCTTTATCCAAACTAGTATACTGAATTCACGTTTTGTGATCCCCCGTCAGCTCGATATGCTATCAGCATATCTACATAACAAAGGGCAGGGTTTACGATCCGCCTTTGTTGACAATATGAGGGCTATACGGATGCAGATGCCGTGGCGAGATTGTAAACACAGAGAAGATAGCGGGGTTTACACAATGAGACACATGGAAGCGTACATGGGCGAGAAGTGTAAGGATTGGGATTGTGGCTTGCAGAAGGGGGACCGGAATGAGCTCCGGAAGCTGCGCCAGAGATACTTGCACGACATATTGTTGTCCGAAATCAATGGGAACCAGGAATCAATTGTTGTACGTACCAAAGCATACATTCGCCAGAACAAAGCGTGGCGACAATGATCTTAGGATGCCGGTGACTACGGAGGCAGCAATGATATGTGAAATGTGGGACCTTGGCATAATAAATGGCTAAACATTATTTTAGCCTAATAATGTTATTTTTCTGCATAATAAATGGTTTTTTTTTATTGTTTTATTGGGTGTGCTGTCTTCTTTCTACTGTTACACACAGTGTTACCTAACACATGACTGTCTAATCAGCACTGTGCTGCCATAATTTTTTAGTCTTTAAATAAATACTCTACAGTTGCATGGTTATTCGTAGTTGGTTAGTTCTGATGTTTTTAGTATTTTGGTTATTTTAAATTCCACCTTGTGCCATTTGAAGACCTCATCCTTGTGTCGGTGCAACTCTGTCTTACACGCTAAAAAATCAGCTGCTCTCCGAATGGTTCTGCCGCTACTAACATAAAATCTTCGTTCCATATTGGATGGATGGTTTTGTTCAGAAAAACTTTGGTGGGGCCGGGGTTAGTGGCCTACAATAAATGATGTGAACACATTTATTTATTTTTATTTAATATGGTGAATTCTAATTATATTAGCGAAAATAGAGATAGATATCAATCACTAACCAGATGGCTCTAGATAAGTGATCCCATGCATATGTACAGTAAACACCAAATACTTAAATATTTAAACAGATATGGAAAATTAAAGTTCATAACACCCGCTTGGGGTGGCTTATTTAGGTAGTTTGGTAATTTTGTGCCCCACCAAAATTATTAGCACATGCAGATGTCTAACTTCTAACACCAAACTGAAAACATCTCCAGACAATTTATAATAACTACACCACTCTTATCTGATCCGTTCCTACAATGATCAGTGAGTTAATGTATAGTCTCTAGTTGAACAATCATCTGCTGTATCTTGTTGGCCACGAGTTATGAGCTCTTAAAAAATTCTAGAGCGTACTAGCAAATACTACAGGGATCTATGGACATCTCAACGTGCACAGTGCTATTTTATGCTAGGTGTTAGAGTATTAATGTGCTACCTTGTTTCATTAGATGAACATATCAACGTAAAGAATTTATTATTATTTACAAGAAGACTTTCAGCGGACTCAAGGTGGTCAATTACTATATTATTTATTTATTAGATATGTCGATCTACATGTAAAATATCAAATGCGATACTCGAACACCATGCAGAGACATATTTATGCTATTGATATGTCCCACACCTAGCTAGTCAGCCACTTGCACACCTATAACAATCGTTCGTTTGCACCGTCTAGTAGTCTTTTAAATCTCTTTAAGTCTTATCATGGTGTGTTGCCATCCGTTTTGACTTTTGTTCATAAGCTAACTTCCCAATGTATGTATCTAGTAGAATATATCCAATATAATTCCATTCTTTTTGTTACTGATTGTTTTTTAAAGCCTCGTTGCACAGTAATACCCACGTACCTCCTAATGATGGTGTGCAGGTTTACAAGAACAAAGGGGGAATAAAAAAAAAAAAAGAAAAAAGGTTACAAGGGACCCGGTACAGAACCCATGTTTATTTTTTGCATTAGTAACCGAGGTGCATACTGTACTGCGTGCATCAGTGTAAAATTGCAATTTAAAATACGAGCACAATGTTTTTTAATAGTGTCTAAGACCCATGTAAAAAAAATTATATTGCTAGCAAGTATCCAACTAACAACAGCATCAGATGTTCTCACAGGCCTTCCACCCCACCCCCCATATGTGTAGCTCGAAGAACTTCACAAGTGCGACTATTGTGTCCCGCGTATTTGCCACACCCGTGACATTTCCTAACCCCCTTCAAAGACTGCTCAATGGCCTTTTCCCTTTTCCCCTTGATTCTTTTTCCACTACCTTTGTTTTTTGCAACAATTGGGGGCTTAACTGTCACTGCCATAGGCGTTACCGACCCACAATATGCTTGAATCCAATATTGTTTTTGTGGTTAACCAGGTCATTCGTATCCCCTACGAAATTAAAGAATCCTTCAGCTGGTGGATCACTTGGGTTAATCGTTCAACACGTTCTGAGCTGTTAATTGCCAACCCCACGCATGCGAAGATCTCTGCCCACATCCTGTTCTCCTGAGTCTTGGTTTCATTGTCGTTAATATTCGAGTGTATAGTAAGGCCCTCAAACTGAAAGTCGGCACACAAACAAACCTTGCGTGTCCAACGGTCTACTATGTATCTTGATGGGATGTTGTCTACGCTGTTGTTTTTGAAGACAATGAAAATGTGGCGGCACAGCCATCCCAACCTTTGGAAGAGTGAGCACGTGCACGTTGCACTACTGTCGCGGGAGTTGTAGTGCACCTTTTACTGTGGATTATCACCGTCTTTTATGCCGTAATTGATGATATCACCAGCAAGTTCTACGGAGACTACCCCACAAGAATAACACCCTGCATAAATTTCAGCTTGTACCTCGCGAAAAATATTGACGGTATACAGGGCCAACGCATGACGTTCCATTTCAAGTCCGTTTTTGTCGGAGCAAATTGTCCTTCGCAAACTGCATTAAGCGTGGTATGGATTTGCCGTTGTGCATCTACTGCAGATTCAAAGTGACTATAAAACTCCACCAAACTGGCTGTATGGGTCAAATACCTTCCGAAGCAACTGTTCTCACCCTCAGATCGGGACGTGGTTCTAACTAGCCCACAGAGTAGCATATCCTTGAAATACGCGGGGATCCAATAACGTCGTGCCTCCCACAACTGTGTGAACCAATTATGCTCTAACATGCCATACTCACCGAGCAACGCTTGCCACCTAGTCTCAAACACATCGGGCTGTTGAATTTCATCCCAAACAATAGAATTTAGCCTGCCCCGAAAGACAGCGTCCTTTGACAACTCCAGGCCAACCTTTTCACCTACTTTTATCATAATATGCCACATGCAAAATCGGTGCCGACTACCTGGGTAAATTTGTTCCAGAGCAATCCTCATAGCCGGGTCCTGGTCTGTGACAAAACATGATGGAGCATCACCCATTGTCCCCTTGAAACTCTCGAGCACCCATACATATGACGCGACGTCCTCCTTGGTGATCAGCGCGGCACCAAAAGTAACGCATCGTTTGTGGTTATCCACACCTGTGAAGAGCACGAAAACCATTTTGTACCTGAATCATTAGAACACAGTTAGTAAGAGGTCCATGCTATCACGAGAAGGGGTGCATGTGGTGATGAATTGATGGGGTGTTGACTGCCTATACGAACATATAAGCCGCGCGAATCTCTGGATAACAATACCGAATAGAATTAATGTAGAAAGGAATTACCTCTTCTGGTAGGACCAGATATAGGAAGAAACTTTACTGAACAAGTATATGTAGCAGTGTGTTTAAAATAAAATATTCAAATATAGGAATACGCATTTATTCTTAGGCATTTCAAATATGAGCCAATAGCTTGCACGCCTATCAGATTCTGTTAAACTGGGCAGCAGGTTTAAGCCCCCCCATCTTCAGCGGTATATGGTTTCCTTGTTTTCCTAATACAAAATCCTTAATAAAATAATTCCAAACGTACCTATTTGTCAAGTACGTTGCATCGAAGGACATAATGTCACCAAACACCGTGTGGTTGCGACAAGCTACCGGATCAGCCTAGAACACACGTCGTAGTTGGTCGTTCTCATCAATGTCATGCTTATAATAAAACGCGGCACACTTGTCATTTTTCCTTGACAACTTATCAAGAAAATACTGCGCATCACACCCATCAATATACGCACGGAGGTCGCGTTTTGAGTTATGGAAATCAACACTAGTTGCCCCGACATTTTCATACCCACCCACAAACTCTTTTAAAATCCTGACACCCTGACTTGTCCCCACGTTTGCCTTTGAGCAATTAGCCATGAACGCCTGATGTCCAAAATCAAGTTTGCGGTTCACTTTCATGAACTGCCTAGACATAGGAGTACACAACACATGAGTGTGTTGCTCCACAAATGAGAACACCTAATACCACCAGGTCTGGTCATTTTTAAAAACGATCCTAGCCTTACACCCCACCCTATTTGAAACCCTACGATGTTTCACAGGCACAGGGAGACTATCATCGTCAGCCGCTGGCCCCCCCTATTGGGTGTGTCACGCGAGAGAGACTTATATCCCTCGCGATTACAAAGCAAATGTCTCAAAACCACCACCCCTCCCTATCTTTCTTCAAAGAACCATGCCTAACATCAAACCCCACCAGAGCAGCATACTTTATATAGAATTCTCACCCTCCGTAAGAGTTGTAAAAGTCTGGCATATGGCTGGCTTATTACCATCCTCGCATTGTGGCCACCAATACTTTGTAGACCCAGGAGATATTTCGAGGCGACAACCTTCATCCGCACCAGTAATGTTAGCAGCAAGATCATCTACACCGGTCCAAAAACCCATGTTAGAAATCAATTTAAACGTAATTGGTCATCAATGTTTTATTCAATCAACTGTGTGGCCAAATATATTTAATAAAGGATGTTTGTACAGGTAAAATATTTCATACATAAACAGTCATACCATGACTAACAACGTCCCTAACTACACTAAACATGATTAAAAAAATCATGTTTGCACAGGTAAAGTGTAGATAGAGAAAGGATTTTACAGCTAATCATTCCATGATGGATTAAAATGAAAATAAGACACGTCCCTATCTACACTTTACATGAATGAAAAAAAAAAAAAAAAAAAACTTGTTTGCACATGTAAAGTGTAGATAGGGAAAGTATTTTACAGCTAAAGCATACCATGATGGATTAAAATGAAAATAAGACACGTCCATATCTACACTTTACATGAATGAAAATAAAACATGTTTGCACAGGTAAAGTGTTGATAGGGAAAAGATTTTACATCCAAATCATACCATGATGTGCAATATACTTATATTTTAGATACAGTGTGCTATCGAGGTAAAAAGAAATCCTGGAAATAGTAGTAGAAGTTCAGCAGCACTGCACCATCAACATACAAGAATTAAGATTCAAATGCACGGTTTTAGGTGGGTCTCTAAATC